CATCGACAAAAACCAGCAACTGAATGTATCCTCTCGGTTTTCTCCAGTTGCAAAGGCTGATGTACGCCAGGCTTTACTCATCATAGAAATGAAATGGGGTTTAACGTCCTACTTTTCTGCATAGAGTTTTTTTTTAGGAAAATTTTGCCCAGACAGCAGTGCTGCGGACTACTCTTATATCATATTTCAACTGTGAAGGGGTTTTTTTTACGTGCAGACTAATGTTTACACAGGACCTTGTTTTTAACCCATCCGAATGACTAGACAGCTGTCCTTGTCAGGACCTCTATCCTGCACTACTGACAAGGGGAAACCATGCCAGGAAATCCTAAGAAACTTTCTTGACCAACACCAGGAGGAGCAAACCTTAGACTTCTCAACTAGTGAGTCAGTGTCTTACTCACTGAGCCACCACAGCTCCAACTGATATAGGTACATGTACAATGTTTATTTAGATGAACAATGTGTGTATACTGGTGTAATATAGCCTGGTTGATGGAGACTATATCATTTCACAGTGTATATATACTGGTGTAATATAGCCTGGTTGATGGTGACTATATCACAGTGTATTCAATATAAACAATAAACATGTATATACTGTAAGAATACTGTAAAAACATATGATAATAAACAATATTATTAACGTCTTTTTACAATTGTTTAGTTTGGTACATGTATTACTAAGACTTGTACAAATATTCATCATGATATCTGTATAAAGTAGTAAACAGTTTTCTTCATAATCTTCGTGTTGTTTATTTATTGTTATTATACTTGCATACTGTAAACAATTCAACTATAAATAATATTATTTCCTAATATATCATGGGAGTTTTTCCGGATTCCATAAACTGTACAAGAGAAACAAAAACTCTGTATAAGAGAATCAAAAACTCTGTAAGGGATTCCAAAAACTCTGTACAAGAGATTCCAAAAACTCTCTACATAGGACATTCCATAAATAAAGAAATCATAAAATCTCTTTTCATAAAATATATAACATAGAATTAAAAACAGCAAATACTAGATTCCAACATCAGACAAGTAGTCATATAATCATTCTGACTTGGTTATAAAAAACAGAGAAGTAGTCATATAATCATTCTGACTTGGTTATAAAAAACAGAGAAGTAGTCATATATCCTAATCATTCTGACTCCATTATAAAAACAACTCTACATGTAGTATGTTAAAGAGATAATTTATATGCATGACTTGAGAAAGTGCATCAAGAGGGGGTTGTTTTTTAACATCTATTTCTATGTAAATAAGTTAAGTAGACAAAAACTACTGAGAAGTTGAGATAAATCAATGTCAGAACTACATCACATGTAAAAACTAATATTATTACTAAAACATCATTTTTATGTACATACTACTTGTTAGACTTGTACGCTTCCATCTACAGTTGTGTAGGAGTCTGTCAAATTATTCCTTGTCATATCGAATATATAAATGTTCCCCTGGATGCTTGCTACTGAGTAATATAGGGTTACTCAGATGTTGCAATTCCTCTAAAAGTAAAACCCATATTAAAGTATACATGTAGTCATTATAAATATGTAACTGAACAGTCTGTGGAATTCAGGTCGATTGGCGGTATTAACACTCGGTGTACTGTAGTAAGATTAATAATACCAAAGAGAGAGAGAGAGGTTTAATACCTGACCCAGAACCACACTACACTCAAAACAAAACCCTTAAGAAAAACCTGTGGGGCAAGACTCAATACACAAACATTGCAAGAAATTTAAATAATATCAAGTCAAATAAACAAGTTAGGGAGCTAGTTTAAGTGTCTACTGCGCTGCACAATTTCAGGCCTCACTCAAAAAAAAAAGAAAAGAAAAAAGACCCACATGAAAGACATAATTGAGATAATGCCAATGCCACAAATTTTGACAACGTTCATCTTCTGAACATTAAAAAATTTAACTATATGTACAACAAGGGAGTTATACCTTATAAACATTAAAATACAACTATGATATTTACAACATAATCAATTACTCGAAGAACTAAAATATACATCTTATCCTTCCTACAAGACAATGGAAGATATTTATAAACCTAACCCAAGTGTGACAAATTCAAGGAGTGATGACTTCTAAATTTAATTAATTTTCTAGGTAGATGTATACAATTCATCATGTCTGTTGGCTGTCATAATATTACAATAAGTACCCTAGATTGGTAGGTTTTCATGATGAATTGTTACACTTGACTTGTTTTTCATCTTTTATAAAGTCAAGGTGTATCTCTAAAATTCACACATTCAGGTGATAGCTTTTATCAGCAAAGTGTGAATTTACAAATCTCAGTATTTGTGTCGCAATAGTTATATGTATTCAAGCAGAACAGATCAGAACTTTATTTATACCTCAGATCATATACAAGAAATAAAAAATTTATTCTCTATCAAAAACTGATAATATATCATTAAGTACAAAATAAAAAGTTTATCTCATGTAGTTTATGTGATGTGATTTTTCTTATGAACGTGTAGGTCTACATGTATACAATTCACACATTCAGGTGATAGCTTTTATCAGCAAAGTGGGAATCTACAAATCTTGACATTTGAATCAAATTATCTTTATTTGTTTTCAAACAAGAAAGAATAAAAATAAATCATTCTCTGTTGAAAACCAAATATATCATTAACTCAAATAATAAACTGTAAAATGGAATGGAGTTTATTTCTACCATTTTCAACAAGTAAATTTAACAAGTGTGACTCTACTTTCTGAAACAGGAGGTCAAAGTTCATGGTTAATGATTAGGCACAGGTAGAAGAATGGCGATGGTCCAGGCTAGTGCAGTCCACATGTATTTTAAAATCTGTAATAGAAAAAACTTCCCCACCCATACAATATTTTATCATATTGAATTATTGTAAATTAGATTCTCTATGAAATGTATCTTTTCAACAGGTTCATCAAAACCCTTCCTTAAAGATACATTCTGGGAGATTCGATAACGAGTTGGCAGTTCTCACTATAATAGTTAAAAACTAGATAACAAAAGGCAATTTGGTGAAAATTTCATGCAAATTGATCCACTATGAACCGAAAACTAAGCGAATGAAATTTCTGCCTAGCCTCGGTCATCATTACTAAAGTCAGTACGATAAACAGCATAGTCTCGATTATCTATTTAATCATTTAATCGAGAAGGAAAGTTATGCAGTAAATCGGCTCACAATCCACTTAAGATCGCAGGCTAGCGAGGCCATCTAGAGTTGAGTATGGTCTGGATAAGTTAATTAATGTCTAATTGATAATTTAGATAACATTTCAGGCCTAAAGAAAGACCTGAAATAGGCAGATTTACCTCTTGCATAATGTATGTTTAATAAGATATTAAATTAGATTAGAATAAACTTTGACCTTCAAGAATGTAAACTTACTTGAATTATATTCTTCTTGTAATCTTATTATTATAATGTACTTTAACACTTCATATTGATAATTATAATGTATATTTATATCATTTATGTATCCTGCTTTTGGGAAGCCGATTTATATAAGCCTTTGGCTTGTTTTGGTAGACTGTGAATAAAATATTGTTTAAATAATAAAAAAGTTAGATGTATAGCAGTCTACCCTGTGTATATTGTGTAAGCTTATTAACTAAATGTATAATTGTGTATTCTACTATGTAGGCCTACTACATGTATGTATAGTAATAATGTATATTGAAAGGGTAGTTTATTTAATATATGTAGTAGTAGTGTGTATTATACATCTACCAGTATGTGTGTAGGCCTACTACAGTACATGTGCCAGTATGTGTAGGCCTACAATGTACTAAAATAGTCTCTGAATGTTATTTGAGAGTTTGAGGAGGTCTACTATTAGTTACATTTTATATGTTAAATATTTTTAGTACAGTAAAATTTTGCGATATCACATGTAAAATATTGCAATATTCATAATGTCCCACCCGACACATGACTCTGTTAGCAATAAACTGTGGTATTTGAAAAAACTAATCTGTTAGATTTGTTTTGCACATTGAAGCCTGATCATAGTTTTCCGTCAGATTTGTGAGGTGTTTTAAAATCTAATACTGTTAGTAGTAGTACATAAACATTGGTCTTTAATATGGATACCTGCTTTACTGTTTACAATCTGTCTAGTCGTAGAATAGCTGGACAAATTATCATGGACAAATTTATAACGGAAGCCACGTCACCTGTAGTTTAGTAGACTTGAATAGTTAGTCAAATGTCTGGCAATAATGTTTTAGCTTACTATCATTGCAGCACTGCCACTGGTTTGTACTGCTGGTGCGATGTATCGCAATTCATCTTCTCACGATTCGTGTATTGAATCGCAAGACACTTGATCGATGTATTACGATACTTTTTTTTGTTTTATGTTTTCACTTCCGGTAATTAACCTGTCACTCTTAATTATCCATAGGTACACAAACACTCTTAAATTGTTTTTGTCCTTATTTTGATCCACATCAATATCGTGATATAGACTTAATTATTAATACTAAATAGAACAATCGTTCTTGGTAAATATTGACGTAGTTAATCGTATCGTAGAACCTGAATCACTATATGTATCATATCGCGACTTCAGTGGCAATACCCAGTACTACTGGTTGTGGTTTGGTTCAGTATTCTGTATTTGAATGAATGTATTCATGACATCTGAATGAATGACTTTTTAACACCAAACTGTACATGATGGATAATGTAGGGCCTGGTCAGACAAGATAAAAAGTATTATATAATCAAAAACAAACACATATGTTTGGGTTATTTCATCAGAAAAAACGATCACCAATACGACATCATAATCATTTCTTCTGATGTGTCAGTTTTGTGTTTAGTTGAAAACAGACTTTCTCTTAGCCATTTGGGGTCACGATAACCTAGCTTCCGTGTCGAGCGGGTAGATTAATTTAACTTTATAAATTATTGATAATGGCTTCTTGAATTAAATCAGAAGCACAAAGAACTAATTAAATTGAAAACTTACCCGTGGATTAAGAGTATGTTGTTGTTTTAAGGTGTGAAAGTTGTGTCGTCGATTTTCGCACCGAAGTTACTATCCATGACTGCTGAACTACTGTCATCCTTCAAATATGTTTTCTCCCCAAATAGAAACAAAAACATCCAAATTTATTTTGAGAAAGTTTCCCTATGCCACAATATCATTTTAAATTCCTAAAATGTACTTTTTGAATTTATTAATTTGTATCAGAATTCATTTTAACCAATCAGAGCGTATCATTACTTTTTTCCCGTAAGTGCGGCTTCTCTTTTTTCCATTTCCGGTTTAAAGAAAAAGGAAAAATTTGTTTTTGTTATTGTTTAGATTAGTTATGCCAAGTAAGAAGAAAAAGTTTAACTCAAGATTTCCTCCGGTAAGTACGAATTTTTATAAAAAGTTATCGTATACACCATGTACTCAGATTTTCTTTACAACCCCACAGTTTTGCTCCCTATACATAAACAATGCAGCCAAGTATGTGAAATCTGCACAAGTCGAAAACTAAATTAATGGGTAGTCAACCGTACTTTCCTTTCTAGCGAAATAACTTTGGTTAGTTTAGTTCTACTCCTCTTCCTGATGATTTTGGTCCAATGAATAGTGTAGCTACTTATTATTTATGTATAAGTCTGGGATATTTCGACTACAATTAGCGGTTCATAACATAATCGCAAATTGAGGAAGCTCACTGACTAGTCACTGGGCTTGTTTCATAAGGAGTCAAACGTGTTTAGTTATTCTGGTATTTTAAATATTGTGTTGATATTTTCAGGCAAGAATAAAGAAGATTATGCAAACAGATGAAGATGTAGGAAAAGTTGCAGCAGCAGTACCCGTTATAATTTGTATCCTTCATACACTGCGACATAAAGTGACAAGGCTAAAAAGTTACAGCTAACAGCTTGACTCTTCATATCTGTTCCCAGTATTATTGTTGAAGACTCATTCACAAAAGTCTTAGATGTCACTTTACAAAATAGTAGAACGTTAAACGCCGTTTTATTTCACTGTACAATACATGTACAGTAGGATGTTAAACCTCATTTCATTTCACTTTACAATACAAACATATTTATCAGACACATAAAAAATGTGTAAATTTTATTAAAAATTTAAAAACTTGAAAAAAGATATACAGTAATATATGATATAAGCTTAAAGATCGTATTTGCTGGATACTAATGTCATTCATTAAAAGCTGCTAAAAACAAATGGCTTTTTAAACAGGATTTAAAGAGATATACTGAATCAAATTGTCTAATAAAAAGGGGGAGGTTACTGCATGAAACAGGAGCCTTAATAGAAAAGGAGTGTTTGCTAAATGAACTCAATGGTGGTTTAGGTACACAGGGTTATATTGATTTGATGCATAAAACACTGTAATAACAGTTAGAATAGTGATGACCCAAATACTATCATTATAAAAGTATTTATTCTCACAGAAATCAAGACATATGTTATATACATACAAAAACATAATTAGAGAATGTGAGATTATTCTGAACAGTAAAACAATATTTCCCACAATCAGAATTTTAGTGAATTTTTTTTCTTGTCATAAATATAAATATGTAGAATATTTACCTGCTAGATTTAGGTTAACGTCCACTTTAACATAAAGTTCAAAAGAAATGCAATGAAACAGGGTTTAACATCTTACTGCTCTGCTCAGAGTGGGCTAATGAAGACGGGCATACGCGATATAGTGTGCTATGAGGGAAATTTTACCCAGACAGCGACACTATGGCCTACTCTTATATCGAATTCCAATGGACTAGGTTGCGTGCCAATGTGTACATGGGACCTCGTTCTTTTTTGTTCCATGTGAACGACTATAAGTTGTCCCGTATCAGGCCCTTGGTCCTGCATAACTGACAAGGGTGAACCACGCCGAAAAATCCTGATGAACTTTTTTCGCCAACACTGATGTCGAACACAGGATCTTCAGGTTAGTGACCCATCATCTTACTCACAGAACCACTGTGGCTCCAAAAGTTCAAAAGAAATATATATCAAGTTATTTGTTTAGGTGTCATTTTAGTAAATTAAAGGGCATATGGCTCTATTTTTTGGAACTTTTAAATAGACAAAAATGTTTATTGTGTTTTAAATATTGGATATTAGAATCCCATAGTTTCACGGCAAGATAACAACATCAATATTGATTCAAATTGATCAATATTGAATTTTAATTCGTGTTTTTAATTTCGATTATTATTAAAAATATTGAGTTAGAGACTTAGCTCCTTTAAGTTTGAAATTTTTTTCCTTAACAAAATAACAGCGCGATCATTGGAAATGTTTATTCAATCTCTTATTTTAAAAGCCGGGGAAACAACAATGTCAAGAAATGCAAAGACCTTGACAACATCACACATGTAAGTTTTTTTAATTTTTTATTTCAGACAATAGATCCTCAGACCCTAGCCTCAAGGGTGTGGGTGTTTGGAATGATAGACATTAAGTTTTTGATTAAGCATGAAGCTTTATGTACTGTAGGGCACATGTTTTAAGTGGTTCTTTCAATAATGAAAGACTGTAACTATTGTTATGATAAGAGATTGCTATTACATTCATTATGCTAATTATAACAAGTGTTGGTGTTCAAAGGACCAGAAACTACTTAAAGGGCCATTATGTGAGATTAGATAAATAGCTGGCAGTTTTCACTATAATAGTTAAAAAATAGATAATGTGAAGGGAATTTGCTGAAAATTGCAATCAAATTGCTCCACTCTGATCCGAGATATTAGCTTTTGAATTTTAGGCCTAGCCTTGATCATCATTACTAAAGTTCAGTACGATAAAAAACATAGTCTCGATTATCCATTTATGGATTTAAATCCAATAAATATCGCAGGCTAGCGATGCCATCGGGAGTTGATGGTCTGAATAAGTTAATTGATATCTAATTAATAATTTAGATAATATTTCAGGCCTAAAGAAAAACCTGCAAGGTACATTAATGTCTAATTAATAATTAAAGATACATTATGGGAGATAAGATAACGAGATGGCAGTTCTCGCTATAATAGTTAAAAACTAGATAGTGTAAAGGTAATTTGCTGAAAATTTCAGTCAAATTGATCCACTATGAGCCGAGAAAGAAGCGGGTAAAATTTTGGCATAGTCTCGGTCATCATTACTAAAATCATTAATATAAACAGCTTAGTCTCGATTATCCACTTTTTTTGATTTAATTATCAACGGCCGTTAGCGGCATATAGGAATCTAATCCAGCCAACATCGAAGGCTAGCCTTGACATCGAGAGTTTATTATGGTCTGGATAAGTTAATTAATGTCTAATTGATAATTTAGATAACATTTCAGGCCTAAAGAAAGACTTGTAATAAGCAGATTTTGCTCTTGCATAATGCATGTTTAAGATAACGTTTCAGGCCTAAAGAAAGACCTGCATTAGGCCGATTTAGCTCTTGCATAATGTATGTTTAATTTAGATCTTAATAAAAGTTATGGTCAGGGTTATTTTGATTAATGCCGGGACACGCCCCATTCAACGAAATTTTCTTTACAGCACAATTGATCTGTCTGTTCATTTATTTCACCTGTTGTGTTTGATCTATGGATGCGAGAGTCGAACATCCACTTAACACAAACTAGGTCATTCCGGGACTAACATATGGTTCAGTTTTATTTTAATAATTCGCTTTTGCATAGAGGTCTTTAGCAGTGGGAGGAAACCGGAGGACCCGGAGAAAACCCATGAGGTTGGACAGGCGACCCTACTCCTCATCAAGTACACGTTATGGATGAATAACTTTTAATGTAGAGACATTTCCTTCGTTGATTATCAACTCTGTAACATGTGAAAGTTGGATCTCAAAAAGATTCGGTTCATAGACTCAATTCTGTTCAAAGATATAATAAATTGAAAATTTCACATCAATCTGTATCTTCTGCAGATAGCGTCACCTGTACGTGTTGGTTAAAAAATTTTGATAGGCCTCTATTTAATCCATTTGAATCCAAATCAGGATATTATTATCCAACATTGATATCTAAATACCAAATCATGAGTGGATAAAGCCATATAATGTTGATATATTATAAACAATACACGATCCTGATTGTTGACTTTAAATTTAATTTAATCAAGACTTTTATTTCCCGCCCAAGTTATGAGATCATGTTCTTTTAGCCAGTTTCTTCCCCTTGCTGAAAGATCCGTATGTGCAAGCGAATTATTGATATAAAATTGAATCATATATTTGTTAGTCCCGAACTGATCTAGTTTGTTTTGATTAGACATTAAACTCTTGTCTATCTCTATCTCTGAAAGGGGGTTTGGATGGCTGAATGGTTAGCACATTCACAATGTATTAGGTATGTCATTGAGTCAACTGGCGTGGTTTCGATTCCCCGGTTGTACATGACAAGGACTAGGGTCGCCTGTCCAACCTCGTGGGTTTCCTCCGGGTCCTCCGGTTTCCTCCCACTACGTGCAAGTGAATTATGGAAATAAAATCAAACCATACATTAGTCCCAAAATGACCTAGTTTGTGTCGTGTGGCCATTTAACTTCATCTTTCTATCTGTATAACCCAGTATGTAATTAGTGTTACAACAAGCGTCAGGGAGAACAATGATTACTATATTGATAATGAATAGATCTAATTAGTAATTAGCAAGTTGTAATTGATCAGTACTGTACAATATCTACATAACCTATTATTCACAAGCGAACAGATGTCTATCTTTATAACCTGTTATTCACAAGCGAACAGATGTCTATCTATATAAATAATAATAATAGCAGGACGACTTCACTACACACAAACAAAACCCAATAAGACAAGCCTGTGGACAAGACAAGCTACTTGGACATTGCATTAAATAAACAATAAATATCAAATCAATTGTATGGCGTTTAATGGACGGGAATTTTGTGTGGACAGCAGCCTTTCTGCATAAGCTTCATTGAACTTCAACTATCCAGGGTTGTTTTCCCGTGCACACCGACAAAGTTAAAGCTTGGTTTTCCATCCAAACGACCAGGAAACATTTATAACGGTGACAATTCTGTGGAATACAAATACTGCTTGTTACTAAGCG